CTACTCCCGTAAAGATTTACACCCTTGGAAACCCTGTACAGGGTCGCTATGGGTCGGAACCGACTCGACAGCACTTAACAACAACAACAACAACATTGGTACTGGGTTTGGTGATGATGGTGGAGGTGTTGGAAGTAGCCATGGTTGTGAGTGAAGGTGTGAATGTTGAAGGTGATGGTGGTGGTGCTGGTGATTGTCATAAAAGTGGCAGAACTGGTGATGATGGTGACAGTTGGTGTTGATCATGAAGGTTGTGATGTTGGTAGTGATTATTGGTGTTGTTGGTGAGGAGTTCGGTAGTGGTATAGGTGTTGGTAATGACAGTGGATGATGGTGTTGGTCTTGGTGACCACACTTGCAGTGCTAGGGGTGGTCTAGTACGTATGGTGTTACTACTGGGACTGGAGACATGAGTATTGTGATGCCATGGCTGGGAAAGGGATTCTTCTGGTGTTAGTGCTTGTGTTGATGGTAGTGATGGTGGTACCTGCGTTCACAGTAAAGCTGACAATGACCATCGGGCTCGGTTCTTGGTTCCCGGAGATTGTAAACTGGGAACTTGGTGAGGAGAGCTTTCTGGGGGAGATCTTCCCTGGGGTTGTTCAAGGTGTTGGGGAAGAATTATGCACCTTCCAGTGGTCTATGGCATCTATGGGATGAGTTTCCCCAAGCCATGTGAGGTCATAGCAGGAAACCACATGTCTCCCCCTCATGCCATCTTCCCTCCACAGCTTCATTGAGGACAACGAGATTGGTTCCATCTCTAAGAATGCTTTCAGAGGACTTCGCTCGCTCACACACCTGTGCGTGCCTCAAAGACCTCATCCCTCCAACCCCTCATCCCTCCCTGGGGCAGGCACCCAACCCATCACCCAGGGACACAGGGCATTCTGCTATCTGCTGAAAGTTTCTGCTCCTTCTCTCCCTCCATCAGGAGCCTGGCCAATAACCATCTAGAGACCCTCCCCAGATTCCTGTTCCGAGGTCTGGAGACCCTGACTCATGTGTGAGGATCAATGGGACGTAGAGGGTGAGGGGAGGCAGGGAGGAGCTTGGCACGGCGAGGGGCACCTGTGGTCACTCTTGTCAGTACATTTGGGGGCGCTCCAGCCATGGTTCCTGCGTATTTCCCACATCTCCCTGGGACCCTTGCCTGGGGAGGTGGTGGGGAGCGTGACCTCCAGGAAATGGAAGCCGGGTCGCAGCCCCTCCCCGGCTTCTTGCCCCAGGGACCTCCGTGGGAACCCGTTCCAGTGTGACTGTCGTACCCTCTGGCTGCTGCAGTGGATGGCCACCGTGAACGCCAGCGTGGGGACCGGGGCCTGCGCAGGCCCCGCCACCCTGACCCACCTGCAGCTCCGCCACCTCGACCCCAAGACGTTCAAGTGCAGAGCCATAGGTGGGGGCTTTCCCAGCAGGGTGGGTGGGGGTGATGGGGGTCCCTAGAAGAAGGGGATAGATCAGAGGGAATGGCTTCCAGGGCCAAGGAGCCGACCTCACTCCCTGCCCTGCCATTCCCTGCTTAGGAGACCTTGAGCGAGCAGTACCACCTCCCTGAGCCTCAGTTTCCTTATCTGTAAAGTGGGGTAATTAAGAGTGATCTAGGGTTGCTGGCTGCAGAGCCCAGTTTATGAGGCCTTTACAAATGTTCACGCTTTGTTGTGGTCACTATGCAATAACCACCTTTAAAATGCTCCCTAGGTGCCAAGAATTGTGCTCAGAATGGCATGTACATCATCATCTCATTGATATTTATTTTCATTTAGCTCTCCCGTAAACATAGATTGATGCCTTGATGGGCATTGGGCAGAGTTCCTGGGTGATGTAAATGGTTAAACTCTGTCTCTAGCTGAAAGGTTGGCATTTCGAATGGCCCAGGAGGAATCTCAGAAGGCAGGTCTGATGATCTGCTCCCTGAAAACCCTGAGGAGCAGTTTTACCCTGCACACAAGGGGTGGGGTCTCCTCCGTGCGTCGTCATGGAGTCGAAAACAGCAACAATGAATAGCATGAGCCCAGGGCATGCTGGGACGCCAGCGATGATGAAGGCAGGCCTCAGTCTCCTCCTCACTGAGCCTTGACGGAGGGGGACATGAGCCCAGGGCATGCTGGGACGCCAGCGATGATGAAGACAGGCCTCAGTCTCCTCCTCACTGAGCC